TGTCTTCAATTTCTTTCAGCGACATTTTGTAGTTTTCAGGACACAAGTTTTTCGTTCCTTTGGTTGAGTTTGTTCCTGAGTATTTCATTCTTTTTGATGCTATTGTGAATGGAATTGTTTTTTTAATTTCCTTTTCAAATGGTTTATTGTAAGTGTGAAATGCAGGTGATTTTCATATGTTGATTTTGTATCCTGCAACTTTGCTGAATTCATTTATTAATTCTAACAGTTTGTGAAATCTTTTAGAGTTTTCTACATCTAGGATCGTGTCATCTGTGAACAAAGATAATTTTACTTCTTCCTTTCCAATTTGAATGCCTTTTATTTCTTTTTCTTGGCTAGTTGCCCTGGCTTCATTAGTTAATTTTAAATATTTTAGGAAAAAAATAACTTTTTTGAAGATAGATACAGAATGTTTTAAACTGTTTACATTTAACTTATTTACATTTTAATTAAATGTATTCAAATTTTCTAGACTCTGAATACAAATGCGTTTTATTTTTTAATCCTTTATAGAACATTATTTTCAGTGGAATACAAATTATGTGAAAATCTGAATTATAAGAACATAGTTCATGATTTTGCTGAATGGAAGACAGGAAAAATAAAGTTTATGGAACACAGATATAATAAACTGTGAATTACGTATGTCTTTATTACTCACCCAGACGTGACTGGCTCAGTAACAGAACACCCAGGCATGGACAATAATCATTAAATTCAACCACCTCTCTGACTTTTAGTCATTATGTATGTATATTTTTCAAAACAGGATGCTAGAACACATTTAGTTTAACAATTTGTTCATTTTTGTTTCTAACTTTTAAATATTTAGGCCTATCTAAAACTTCTGTCTCACAATCAAGAAGCCCAGGAGTAGCCAGCCCAGGCTGGTCTGCTGCTCCACGCGCTCCTTGGCCAGAGCCCCACAGTGTGTGTTAGGGACAGACCTGGCCTTGACAGTGTGAATGTCATACAGTAGACTTCTCACGTTCAGAAGTGACTCTCCTGTGATAAGCCCCTCCCTGCACTGCAGCCAGGAGGATACTGTACATTACAAATCTGATGCACTCCCCTGCTTGGAGCCCTTCAGTGGTTTCTCTTTGCACTTGGGATGAGGTTCTTAATACGGCGGCCGGGTGTTCTAGCCCCGTCTTCCTTCCTCGTCTCTTTATGCTGCTCTTCCTCTCTTCACTCTAGCCACAGTGGCCTTTATTCCAGTCCTTCTGGCATATCCCCTCCTGCCCCAAGACCTCTGCACGTGTGGCTCCTTCTCCCTACGGTGTTCTCCTCGCCTCTTTCCTGCCTGTCCCATTGGACTCATCTGTAAAGTCCCTTCTTCCAAGAAGCCTCCTTTGGACTTTGGACAGGAATAGATCTTTGGATTTTGAATCTTTGGACTAGACAGATCCCAATAATAATAAAAATAAACATTTATTTTGATGGCCATGTATAAAATAAGTATTTGCTATGCAAGAGATAGACAGGTAAGCACTTCACATGTATTAATTCTTATTCCTCCAAAAACCCTCCCTTCCATTTTCACAATTAAAGAAGTCAAGACTTAGACAAGTTAAGTCACTTGCCCACAGTCACATTATTAATATAAGTTGAGGCAAGATTTTAATCAAGGCTGTCTAGTCCCAGAGCTTCCATATTTAATCCCAAAGCCACATTGGTCTTCTCTGTAATGAATCCCTCATTCATGATTTGTTCACTCACTCCACATGTTCATGAGGTTTCTGCCGGGTGCCAGGCACAAAGAGGCACTGGGGTATAGCGGTGAGCAGCAAGACAGATAAGGTTTCTGGACTCGAGGAAATTTGTTCTAGTGGAGAGAGAGAGACCATAAAAGTAAAAATAAACAAATAAATAAACAAAATCATTCCTGTGGTGGAACTGAACAGGTTCTGTGACAGAGTAAGTGAGGAAAGCCTTCTGTTGTTGGATGGGCTGATGAGGGGCATCTGAGCTGAGTCCTGAAGGATGATGGCGCAGCTAGCTAAGCATTCTTCAAAGCCCATTCAACTTTTTTTATGGCATCAGACCCCCAAATCTCAGCTAGATTATATCCTCCAGCCTATCTTACAATTAAATGTAGCCATGTGACTAACTTCTGGCTAATGGGTTATAACCGGAAGTGGCATGAGAAACTTCCAGGAAGTCTCCTTAAAGGGAGGTCGGGGTGGGCATGCCCTTCTCCTGCCATCCTCTTTCCTGTTGGGAGACTGAAGCACCAACAGCAGACGTGGAACGTGAAGTGACGTGAACCTGGGGATGGAAGCACACACAGCAGAGCAGCAAACAGGAAGGAGGATGGGTCCCTGGCACTGTGGAGGGCCCTGCCAGCCCAGTACTGACTCCTCCTCCTGCAGATGCGCTGTCCTGGAGTTGTACTTCCTACTGAAGTGTGACTGGACTTGCTTATGATTCTGAAGATGTAGTACTGCTACTTGGGAAGTGTAGACTTCAAGGTTCCTGCAAAAGCTTTTAACCACCGCGGCAACTGACTAAACATCCTTGGGAAGTCGTCACAGACCCCTTGGCTGCCTCTGACTCCCAGTCACAGGAAATGGCCAGCTTTCCTTTCTCTCTGGCATGCCTTGGGAAGGCGTTCGGCAGGCCAGAAGGGCCACTCACTCGATCAGATGGCACCTGCCCAGCTGACAGAGATAAAAACTCCCACCATGCAGATCTCTGAGAAATGCCTCTGTGGCATATTAACGATGTCACAAACATATGTAGAAGCTCAGATAAAGCTTTTGATGTCCCTGATCCTTGCACTTCCAAATGGTGGCTGAACAAACAGAAGTCAGGCTTCTTTGAAAGCCTTCAAAGAGGTGAAATTGCCTAAATCAGTTTGTTGCCTGTTTTCTGATTTCCAGAGGTTGGGGGGGGGTTTCCTGTTCACTCATCCTTCCTGAGACACTGTCACATTCTCTTCTAGGTACTTTTGTTCCAGGAAACTTAAATCCATCATTTATCTGTGATTGATTTACAAATTTGAATTCCCAATAAAGCCTTGACCAACTTTTCCAAAAACTGGAAGTGATTATTTTCGAAACAGTTGCATAAACATTCTATTAGGAAATGGCAAATAGAACTTTACCAGCATGAAGATAAACGAGTAAGGGCAGGAACTGATTATTTTACCAATGCAGTCAAAGTTCATGAAGTCAGAAATGTGTAATTACCCCAGAAAATTCTAGGTAAAATCCAGTGTGCTGAGGTTGTGACACTGCTGTTTGTGTGTACTGGGTCTTGATCATGGCATTAAGAGGGGTATATAATTTTGTACTTGTTTTTCAAGAATTTTTAACTCAGTAATCAGCACTTACGGTGACTCTCACTGTGAGGAAGACACCATGGAAGTTCTGTATGGAGATGAGCTAAGAGAATGAGCTTTGGAGTCTTCACTGTCATTAGGGCCCTCTTAATCAGGATTCAGTAGGTAAGTGACAGACATACAGTTAAACTAACTTCAGCCCCAAAAAAGAAAGTTTGAAGAGGGGATTATGGAATGGAAAAATACTGAGGTATCATGTGAACTCAAGGTCTTAGATAGTGAGGCTTCAGGAATTGAACCAGAGACTGATTCTTGCTCAGCAATGCTTCCCAACCTTTTCCACTTCATAAATATTCCATAAAATGATGCTATTTCTCTGGTCCATAGGGATAAAGTAAAGGATGCTCCACACAATTGGAAATAATTTACTCCTTGGCATACTGATCATCTCCCCAGATAAAGCCCTTTCTTTAGTCTCTCCATCCCAAGCTCTTGGGAAACAATCATGGCCAACATTTATTGAGTCCTGTCATGTGACAGGCACTGTGCAAAGCATTTCATTCACTCATTAAATCTTCACACAATCCAATAGGTTGGGTATTATATTTTCCCATTTTACAGACAAGAAAACCCAGGCACTTAGAGGCTAAGCCACATGCCCAAAGTCCCGTGGCTAGTGGTGGAGGCAGGGTTGGAATCTACTTCGGCTCCCATTTGCCCTGAACCCTCAGCTATTGTGCCTCTATTGGCCATGAAAGCTGTCTGTAAAAGGAAGTGAACTGATTGGCCAAGCTTGAGTTAGGTGTCCATCCCTGGACCAATCAACAATGAGAAGGCGGAGGAAGTAATTGGTACTTCTACTACAGGGAAGGAGGGAGGAATAGGCAAACCCTAGGAAAGGAGTGCCTCACAGATGCTCCCAAGGTGTCATTTATATGTGTTCTAATGTAATATATATTGTTGTTTTGTGTGCATGCATTTTCCATTTACATAATAGGCACTGGGCTACAGGTTCCATTCTTTGTCTTCCTTTTGGCACTCAGTCTTGTGTTCATAAGATGTATCCATGTTGCCATGTTGCCAGCCCATGGCTTCTGACCCCAGCATAGACTCTATGATGTGCCTGCACCATTATACCTTCCCTCCCACCCATGTCGTGTCCTGTCATGGACTAGTGGGTTCTGTGGGTCACTTCTCTCCCAACTTGGGAGCCCCTCATCTGGAAAGGCCCCTCTCTGCCTTTGTGCTCCCACAGTCCTCCGTGCTTGCCTCTACCAGGACAGAGGCCACAGAGCAGCTTGGTTAAAAGTGCAGGACTGGGGCCAGGCTACTTGGACTCAGAATCCTGGCTCTTCCACTGATGGCTAAGTCATGTTGCCTCCCGGTGCCTCCACTTCCCTGTCTACAAAATGTCAACCACAACTACTCATGGGATTGTTGTGAAGATTAAGTAAGAAAAACCTATGAAAAGTGCTAAGAACAGTGCCTGTTACAAATTAAGTGCTATCTGTACTTATCTTAATAACATTTGTTGCATGTATTGAAATGGTCTGTTTACTTGTCTGTCTCCACCACCGGATTATGAAATCCCTGAGTCCAGGGGCCTTGGCTTTTCTGTCTCTGTGTCCCAGAGGCCCACACACTGCGTGAACCCAGGGCATGCTCGCTGAGTGAAACTCTCTCTTACTCAACATTTGGTTTGACGTAGCTGCAGGATTTGTATCTCGAAACCAACTGAGTTGAGCAGAAGCTGGATGGAACAGACTGGAGATGTGGCTTCAGAAGAGAGAACTTTCCTGGAACTTTAATGCTGTCCAATGAAAATAGAGCGTCAGCTGCCACATACAGCCAGGAAGGTCAGCAGGCCACCCACGACTGGCACCCAGAGGACACCCGTACCCCGCTGCTGTGTGAACCTGCCTGCAGCATGGTCATGGGCCAGCACTTTCTAGCTTCGTGTGTGTTCACCTCAGTGTCCTCATCTGTAAAATAGGACCAATAGCATTTACTTCATAGTGTGGTCCTGAGGACTACATGCGGGAACCGTCATCAGCTGCTGAGAACAGTGTCTGGCATGGCCTCAACTGGCAGTAAATGTTAGCTCTTCTTAGTGCGATTACCACCAAATTAATCACGCTTACAAATGGAGTTGGAAGATGCCACACTAATTTTCTCTCTTTTTTCAGGATCTCGGAATTTTTGTTTGTTCATTTGTATGTTGGTCTTTGTTTTTCCTTATTTATTGGGCCTTCTGGTGGGAATTACCTGTTAGCAGGTTGTCCTTTGGGAGATTCTAAGTGTCTTCCCTTAGCTTCAGTAAATGTGCCCTGAACTCACAGGCGGGTAGTACAGCTTCTCTAACTTTGAAGGTTTCTTGAGAACAGTATCACTCTCAGGTTGGAAGTTCTCTGAAATCTCAGCTTCCAGCAACCTACAGTCAGATATTCCCGGGAATATGAGAGGGCGCCATTTACAATCACAGAACGGACTTAAATGGGAATGAACTTGACTATCTTTGTTGTTTAAAAAAAAAGAGTAAATGGGACGAACAACAAGGAAATCAAACACAGGTCCAGTGGAACTATCCTTGTTGCCAAAACACTCAAGGACAGAGTTTTGGATGAAGTAGAAAAGGCAGCTTTAACTCTTTGCCAGGCGAAGGAGGTGACAGCGGGCTGATGCCTCTAAGACCGCGAGCCTGCCGGGGAGAGAAGGCAGGGGCTTTGTAGTAAGAGTTCAACAGGTAGCGCTCGTTTCCATAGAGATCACACACAGGGTAACAACTTGTTGCAAAGTTGTCCTTGACTTTGTAGATGCAGCCGTCCGCTTTCTTCTGCTGGGTATGATGTTCACCCCTCCTGCTTTGAAAGTCTTCTAATATCCTTGTGCCTCGAACAAAGGTGCTTAGAAAAGGAGTCTGTGGGAAAGTGCTCTAGAGAAAAACTTGTGCAGTTTAAAGTCAGGCTGATAGATGTTCAGGCATTTTAGGCAGGCTGAGGCCTGAGGCCTGAGGCTCTTGCCGGCAGTGTTTGCACAGGCGGGGACAACAGAACACAGAGAACCCATGAGGGGCTAAAAACAACTGCAGGCATGTGCAGTTGGGGTGAGTTATGAACAACAAGATGTGCAAAATGCCCAACTGCTGTCTCCAAGGTGCTGGGAGCAAAACGAGGGAGGGTGGGTAGATCACCCAAGTTCCCTCCTCTTTTCCGGCCCAATCCTGGTCACCAAAGGATGAGAAAAACTCTCAAATACCATATGGTCACTGATGACAATAGGGTCCTGCTTGGTTACATCCTCAGAGTCATAAAGGCCTTGGCCACGAGCTTTCTAAGCAAATTTTAGGCTGTTGTGCCGCAGAGAGACTCTTTTAAAAAATGCTTTGGTTTCATATGTGGAAAGAAGCCCTCAGGGTGGATGACAGGCTGCCCCGCATTAGAGGCCTCCCCGGGAGAACCACTAGCTATAAAAAGAGAGGTTAGTTATGAGGAGAACTCCCCGGCCGAGGCTGAGGGGTTTTAGTGACTCGCGGTGAGGGGCCGATCGGGGGCCGTGTTTGGTGGCTGGTGACTGCAGCTCTCCCCGGGCAGAGGCCTCTGGGGAGTCTGATACCACGGGCAGTGCTCGGGCCTGTGCGGGACGAGGAGGCCTGATTGTGTCATTAGCCACAGGGACTGTTGTCCACGGGGATCACTAACCAGTGGCAGGGGAACAGGGACAGGAGCCAGAGGAGCTGAGGAGACGTAGCAAAATGATTCATTTTATAAAATTAGGATCTCGGTGAAACTCCAGGCAAACTTGCCCGGGGCTGAGCCCCTGGTCCTTGGGATCAGTAAGTTGGGGAGACAGTGTTTTACAGATTATACTCTCCGCTATCATCCATTCCCTGGGTGTCTGCATTCAGCGGCGTCTTAAAACACGCTCAGGTGAGAAGCACTGATTTCCAAGAAACTACATGAGATCTTTTCTTAAGAAGCCCTGGAAAACTAAATGTTGTGTGTCATCAAGAAAATTTAATTTTGAGCCAGAAACCCAATTCCCGACCCATTCCTTCCAACATTCTGAGGACAAATAGGAAGCCAGGATGGGCAAACTTTAGGGGCTCACCTCCAAAAGGAATATTTTGACTAAATGTATACACACTTCAGATTCCTAGCATTACTGAGCACCTACTGTGTGCCAGACCCTGTACAGAGTCCGTCTCTGATTGTGCTCCCATCCCCTAGCCCCCCAGAATGTGTGTACAGTCAATAGTTCTGCAGATGACACACCGGGAGTCAGGCTCACAGACCGTGGATGGCCACCCAATGGGAGCAGAGCCAGCATCTTTATTCAAATCCTTTGACTGACTGGTTGTGTTGCCCAGTCCAAACTCATTCTGCTCACCGCACGACAGGCCAATAAATCGGGAGACGAGGTGTTGGAGCAAGGAATAGCGACTTCATTTGGAAAGCTGGCAGACTGAGAGGATGGCAGACTAATGTCTTGCAGAACCATCCTCCCCAAGTCAGAATACAATCTCTTTTTATACAAAAGAAAAAGTGGAGGGGATGTGGTTGGTTGTTGCAGACTTCTTGGTGTAGGAATTCTTTGTTCTTGCAGCCATCCACGTGGGCCAGGTCCTGGTGCTCCTGCAAAACCTCCAACAAAACAAATGTTATTCTCTATTCTGCAACTTGTTATCTTTACGTGAGTGCAGAGCTGGCAAGACTAAGCCTAGAACACAGGGCACAGGGTTAAAGCCAAAGGAACAGATGTAATAGGGAGTCAAGTTGGTTCTTTCCTATTACAGTTGTCGGTCGTTGGCTACTCTCTGGCCCTCCTCGACAGAGCAACCCTGACGGCGACTTGCAATGGAAGTTAAAAGCATGGCCATAAGCACTCAGAAGTAGCTCAGGGAAGTGTAAAAATAGTTACTTCTGAGTGCGACTCCCTCTCATCTCACCCGCCCTGTATATGCTTCTGGACCTTTCTTTTCTTTCCTATTTTAAAAAATATTTCCAACTTTTGTGTCTGGAGGTGGGCAGACATATCTTGTGACAAATAGCCAGCCAGTCTGAGGTGGTTGCATGTGTTGATGCCTCATTTTTATGACTCTATGTTTTCAATATTTCTATCAAGAAGTAACTATTTTTTCTCCCATAACACTTTCAAGTCAAATTCTCTCTTAGGAACATCAGCCTTGCCGTGCCAGCACTGGGTGAAACTCTACCGTTTTGAACTTCTGCTCTCGTGTCCATTTTGCAGTGAAGGCAATTGTGAGACATCCTCCTGGATGACAGTGTTGTCACAGGTGAACATAAATTAAGGCATTCTACCGTCACTCTAGTTTCTTATCAACATTCAGCCAAAGCATTTTTAATTTTCCACTGTTTTATATTCAGCAATGTTTATAAGGCATTTGCACCCGAGCTCCACCAAGGCAGCGTGCCGATGAGGGGCTGACACTGCTGTGGGAGGGAGCAGCGCGCCGTGGCCGGAGCAGGGCTTCCAAGCCAGCTTTCCTGAGTCTGATTTCCAGCTCTTCCATCACTTACGCTATGGGCATTGAGCACGTTACTTCACTCATCTGCATGTTACCTTCCCCTCAGTAAAAGTGAGATTAAAATTGCCCCTGCTTCATAGCTACTTCAGTGCTTCAGTGTGAGGCACATTAATTTATGTGAAGTGCTTGTCAAAATGCCTGGAACATAGTAGCTCTATGTACGTGATTACTGTAATCATCTCTCTTATTATTATTCCACAAGAACCACGGGTAGGAGCTAAAGCCTTTGGGAGGCAGCCACCATGAGGCCAGGAATCAAGATAGTGTGTGTTCGGTTCCAGAACTAAAGTACTTGGAGCACGAAAGCATTTAGTGATATATTCAAGACTCTCCTCCCCTAATTCCCCGATCAGACTGAGCCCTGTGATGTGCAGGATTTTGAGAATATTCAGGCCCAGTAAATGAAGAAGCTTGTAATTTACAAATGCAGGCAAACTATCTTAAGATGCTTAAGTAGAAATAAGTAGCTAGTAAGCAAAAGGTGTGACTGTCATAGGCCGAATTCAGGGGACATTTTACTTATAAAATAAGCAGACAGCAAGGAGGACATGTGCACGTTAAACCCAGGTAGAAACGGATGGAACAATCAAGAAGCACCTAATATTTATGATGCACTTGAGTGCTAAATATTCATAATGTACTAAATACACATGAGATTAAATATCAGGATTTGTTAAGTATACATGAGCATTTAGCATTCATGATCTCCTAATGTAGGAACCTCCTGGTCATATCCTTCAGGTCCCACGTGTCCTCTGCCCAAGAAACTCAACTAGAGCTCAGAGCTGTCCCTCAGGCTGATGGGGAGCTACAGCAGAGGCCCGGCATGCTGCATCTCTCAAGGAGAGCAAGCATGTGACATTGGCCCAGGGCAGCTTCCCTCTGTGGGCCCCTGGGTCAGTGATCCCCAGAACCACCCTCAGATCTGATGATTTGCTGGGACTCATAGAACTCAGAAAAGCAGTTCAACTCTTTGTTATGGTTTATCACAGCAGATGGGTACAGCTCAAAATCAGCAAAGGAAGGAAGTGCATAGGCAGGGTCCGGGAGAGACAGGCACAAGCCCCTGGCTGCTCTCTCCGGGTGGAACTGTATAGATGGCGCTTCATTCTCCCAACAACGAGTAAGACCAGGTACAAAGTGTTGCCAACTAGGAAATTCACCCAAGCCTTGGTGTCCAGGGTTTTTATTGAGGTTCAGTCACATGGGCATGGATTGCCCATGTGACTAACCTTAACTACTCAGACTCCAGCCCCCCGAGGTCCAACTGGGGGCCCAAGTCATGTGTGGCCAGTGTGTGGCCCAAGGCCCCTACTGTAAATCACACTGTTAGCATAAACCATCTGGCAGGGCCCAAGACCCCAGGTAAACAAGGGCGCTCTCATCAGGCAGGATATTTCAAGGGCTCAAAGATTATCTCCCAGGAGCTAGTCAAGGGCTAGTCCTTTCTTGGAATGAACAGGGCATGAACCCCTGCTGAGTTACCCCTTTACTGCACAGCCCTCGTGCTCAAACCTCAACTCTGGTCCTAATATCCACACTATCAGCGGGGAGAGGGGAAGTGCAGAGAGGGACACTGTGCGCCCAGCATTCAGGCAGTGTGGTCCGTCCACCCTACAGGAGCTTTATCCTAAGCGCATTAACTCACCCCCTTTCTCCTCTTGCTTCTTGCTGTATGTTTTAAATATATGTAATAATCCTTGCAACTTAAGTACTTCTATTTGTTCTACGAGTCTCTCTGGAGTGGCCTGCCTGGCGATGGATTTAGAGGCAACCACCTGACGTACTTGCAGATAACTTCCCACACGGTGTATCCTGCTGTCATTACCTGCAGTGGGTGCAGAGAGGTGATGTACTAGTCAGCTTTGGCAGAGATATGCCACAGGTGCAAACAGTGCCAGAGCTCCCAACACCCATGGTTTGCTGTGAATTAGTAACGACAGTACAATCTATGCAAGTGGGGTAAAGAGGAGAAAGATAAGAAGGTGGATTCCTGAGTGCGCTGATGTGGCTGTGATCTCAGTTATTGCCTATAGACACTGCTGACCACGATTTGCCTGTAGCTTATATTTATTAAATGCTTGCTGCAGATCAGACACCACTAAACACCCCAGCCACATTAGCTTATTCTCACAGTGACCTGTGAAGTAGGTACCATTTGTCCCTTCACCATTTTCCAGGTGAGTAAACAAAGGCACAGAAGAACTTGTGTGAGGTCATGGGCTCCGTCAATGGTGGAGTCAGAATTCAAACGCAGGCAACAGAGTTTACACCCAACCACTCTACTCGGCTTCTTGGGCCCTGAAATCTGTTTGTCTTGGTCTCAGGGTCTAGCAGAGTAGACGGAGCTCTTTCATTGGCGAGTGACAGAAACCCAAGTCAAAATGACCTAAGTGAAAAGGGGTATTTATTCACTCATGAGCCTGAAAATTTCAGGGACCAAAACTGAAGCAGCTGAATCCAGAAACTCAGCCAGGCAGGGGGGACTTGCCTGCCCGCTCGTCATCTCTCTGTTCTGTTTCTTTACTCATCCCTCATGTTAATATGTAATAATCCTTGGCTGTTGTCAACTCGAAGCTGACATCCCAACAGCTTGCCAATCAACCATGTGAGAGTCTATCTCCTGAGAGTCCCAGGCCCAGACCAGGGAGGTAGACTGGCTCTAATTTGCCCAATCAATCCAGTCACTGAGGCGGGGCAGTGGCCAGGCCTGGGCGATGTGTGTGCCCTGCTTTTGGGTGCTGGGTCAGTCCCACTGGAACCATATGGATTGAAAATGAATGAGGACATTTCCCTAAAGGAAAATGACGTTGTTGCAAAAAGGAGAAGGAACATCTCTGGGCAGACAAAAATAACTAATGTCCTCACAGGGTTTGGTAAATGCATGAATGCTGGGTAGATGGATGGATGCAAGAGTGAATGAATGCAAAAATGCAATGCTCAGGGCAAGGGTCTCAATGATGAGAAACTTAACAAGAAAAATACTTTCTTATGTATCCAAACAGTGAGAGTAGTCAAGGTTAGCAATTCCTTCGGTTCTCTTCCACAAAAGAGATACCAGGAGATTTGAGGAAGGTGGTTGGGGGGAAGACTACTGAAAAACAGGTACATGAAACAAAGAATGAGAACACGAGGAGGAATCTCTGTAATGGAGACCATTACAGTTTTAATAGGACATCTGCCTCAAACAGTGAGGGTTTCTGGTCGCTGCTTTTGTTGGTATATCTCTTCTTCTTGGTGGAGTAAGAAGCCTGCAATTGTCATGGACAATTACAGCCCAGTACACAAAGTCGCACATCCCATCTGGAGAGACCGGTCACCGCAACTGGCACAAGCCAGCAGGATCCTCAGGAAATAGGAGCTTGCGCCACAGGGCTTCTCGGATTCTCTTTAACTTCTGAACTCAAGCCGTTCCTGTCGGTTGATCCCTAGTTTTCAGCCTTGTTTGTGTCCCTGTAAAGCTGCCATTTCGAAAGTTGATTTTCAGAATGGGATTTGGCAGGGCAAATAGAGCCCCAGTCGGGAGAGTACGTCTACCCTGCAGAGAAGCTTATGAAAAAGGACAGGACGCTAGATTCCAGCAGCAGGTTCCGGGAGGGGAAGAAAGGAACCACGCACACGCTCACGGACCTAAGCACCGGGACCGCTTCTGTGCACAGCGTGGGCTCAGTGAGCCCTCAGCATATTTCAGCCCCAAATCTTTGTCTTATTTTGTTTTTCACCATGTGCTCTGTTTCAGGGGAAATGTAATGTGCATCTTTCTAATTTACGTGCACTTCAATTTTGCCCTTAAGATTTATTAACCCACTTCTCATGTATTTACTCATACAGCAGCTCTTACACGACATCCAGTCCACTGTGGCTAAGTAGACGTTTACGTCTTTTGTGTTTAAATCAGGGATTTGGGGGGAGTTTTGTGCCTCCAAGAGCTTTAAGTTTCTTTTTCAATCCAGAAGTTTCTAACTGTCGTGAGCATCTAGCTTGCCAGGCTCAAGTCCAAGGCGCCTTTTGAGGTATATCCTGTATCCTTTTAGCTCTGAGAAGGGACAAGCTTGCCTGCCATCTGGAGCCTAATATCCTGACCTTTTTCCCCCATGTCAGGCCTTGTGTTGCCAATCTCAAGCCAATAAGGGCTGACTGCTAGAAAATGTTTGATTAGAGGATGTGATTCGCCCACAACCTCGAGTTATACCAAAACTGAAATCTGAGGGAAGAGAGAGCAAAGTAGGGTCCCTTATACGACCTGGACTAAACGAGGCATGAAGACCAGTTTTCTCATGGTACCTGGGCAGGCAGAGGAGCGGAAGTCCTGCAGGAGACACAGCATCCCGGGGGAAATGGGGACTCCGCCCACCCTCCTGACTTCATCTAAGAGGAATCTGAGCCCAGCGAGGCTGAGGCACTTGGCCAGTGCGGGTGAGGAGCCCAGAAGTCAGGCCTCCTCCGTCCAGCCTGGGCTGGGTCCGAGGGCTCCAGCCTGAACCAAACACGGTGATGGAAAAGCGACATCTCCCCTGAAGTGTTTATGCCTTTCTTAAACACAGTAAGTTTCCACCCTGGCCATACTTTAGGATCAATGGGGAAAGCTACGAAGCAAAACAAGCAGAACGAAGAAATGAACACCTGGGCCGACTCAGACCACTTAAATCAAGCTCTCAAGGGGTGAGCCCTGGACATCAGTGGTTTGCTGTTGTTGTTGTTTTTAATCTCCATGGTGATTTTAATTCAGGGATAGCTTGAGAACCAAAGTACTTACCTTTCCTGGGATGGATCTCACCTGAGTGTTGTCAGCTAAACTGAACCAAGAAAACATGTTGATGGTGGGAAGGGAGGGGTCCAGTGATTCATGGGCAGGTGGAGAGAAAGGCTGGTACCCGATGCTGTGGAGTGACTCAGACAAGCTTGGCCCTGGGGGAGCAAGAGGAGCTCTGAACGTGTCTTCTGCCGGGAAAGGCAGCTCTGTCCTCCTGGCCCCCTCCGGCAGCCTAGAATCCGGGCACAGATAACTCCAGTCCTGCCTTTCCCAGCACTTTGGGCTGGTGAGGTTTTCTGCAAGATTTTCTGCCTCCTCTTATTTTACTACCAACCTAGCTCCACTCGTTCCAGTTTGGAACAGAAGTAATTAATGACAACAAGGGCTTTCTAGCCGACAAAATCAATACGGAAACGGCTGAAATAGCGTCTTGGAGACAGAAGGAAGGAACATCTCCTTACCCGCAATTCACTGGGTGAACAGGCCTTTATATCCATAAACCGCTCCTTTCCACATGCAGATCTGCAAGGTGATTTGATGTATGATCTTAACTGGGCCTCTTTAGGAAAGGACGTCACATCTGAACTCGGCTTCGGGAAATTCTACCCCCATTCACCTTAGTACAGAAAGTCAAACTAACATTTTTTAAGTGAATGCCGGACTGTATTTCTTCTCTCCTCCCCCGCCCCCCTCCCCCACTCCCTCCCCTACCATTTCATTTGGACTCAGCTCTCACAGTTCAGGCCTTGATACTGACAACTCATCTGACTATTTAAAATAAATTTTTAAAAAGGAGACAATTTCTCACAGGCTGAAAACAGGTAACCCGCATTCCCAGACTTGATGATTTTGATGCATAACTTTGAAAGAATGGAGGCAGGACCCAGGGTGGTGAGAAGTCGGGTGGCGAAGAACTTTGGATTGGTGGGTGAGGTGGGTGAAAATAGGAAATGACATGTGATTTGAATTAATTCTTCATCTTTTTATTTTCTTATGATTATTCTTTAATATTAGGGTTCAAATTCTATTCAAGAAGCTCTTTTAAAAAGGAGGAAACTGCCAGGTCCAAGAGGACTGGGTGTCACCATTCAGAAGAATGTCCAGTTACAGAGAGGAGTCAGGACCTGCCATTTCCCTGTCAAGTCCTCTCCTCCACAAAAGGAGCTGTTCACACTCCACCAAGCATCTTGCCACAGAAGAAGTTTCAAGCTAAGCCAAAATTTGACTCATATCATTCCTTTATCCATAAACGACTAGATGATACCCATTTTTTATTATCCGACTTGATAGACTAAGAATTGAGCCTCTGGGGTGAGTCTAAGCCACCCCTGGTCTCCCTAGCTTCAACCTAGGCTTTGCAACACTTTGTCCTTGAAAGGTCCCAGCTGACCTTGACCAAGTGACCCCCTCCCCCTTGGCTGGACCACTTCCCTGTCCGGTACAGTGAGCCCCACAGGAT